GACAACCACCCCAGTCAGAATCGCAATATGCTTGTAATCTTAAATTGTCAAATGACAGTAGGAGTCCTTGACCAGGAGTGCCTTTGATGTACCTCAGAACTCGAAGAGCTGCCTCCCAATGTGGTTTTCTTGGTTCATGCATAAATTGGCTAAGCACACGAACTGAATAAGATATGTCAGGCCTAGTGACAGTCAAATATATTAATCTGCCAATCAACCGTCTGTATTTACTTGGATCATTCAATTTCTCTCCTTCAGTTAAAGAAAGTTTCAGATTTTGCTCCATAGAAAATTTGTCTGAACGTGCTCGTGTAAGGCCTGTGTCTTGAAGGATGTCTAGAGCATACTTCCTTTGAGACATAAAAATTCCTTTTCTAGACCGAGAAAATTCAATGCCTAGAAAATATTTCAAATTTCCTAAATCTTTGATGAGAAATTTCTGGAGTAAATTAGTCTTGAGATATTGAATTTATTTGAGATCATTGCCTGTCAACAGAATATCATCAACATAGATTAGAACTGCAGTGAAAGAAGTACCTTTACTCTTGGTAAACAAAGAGTAGTCTGCTTTGGACTGAGTGTAGTCTGCATTTTGTATAGTTGTAGAAAATATGGAGAACCAATTGCGAGAAGCCTTTTTAATCCGTAAAGAGATTTTAGAGCCGACATACTGTATTCTCCCCCTGTCGGCGAAGACCTGGTGGTAAAGACATATAAACTTCCTCGTCTAGATTACCATGGAGAAAGACATTTTGAACATCCAACTGATGGGTGAACCATTTTCGAGCAGCAGCAACAGTGAGTAAGCAACGAAGTGTAGTAAGTTTCGCTGTAGGGGAAAATGTTTCTGTGTAATCAATACCTTCAACCTGAGTGTATCCCTTTGCTACAAGTCAAGCTTTATGACGTTCAACAGAACCATCAGAGTTGTATTTAATTTTGTACACCCAGCGACAACCAATAGCTTTATGACCAGGTGGTAGAGGAACGAGAGACCATGTATGATTACGTTCCAAAGCTGCAATTTCATTATTCATAGTCTGCTGCCATAAAGGGTCGCCAACTGCCTCGTCATAGGTTTTAGGTTCTGTCTGGGATGTAATAACAGCTAGAAAAGCACGTTGAGTAGGAGAAAAATGAGAGAATGAAAGGTAATGATGAAGAGGATACCTGGTGCTAGTGTCGGGACTTGAGCTAGAGATTAAATGATTGGCTCCAGAAGACATCTCATAATCCATATGCCAAGTTGGAGGCTGTTTAGTGCGAGTAGAACGTCGGAGTGGAGTTGATGTATCAGGCGGGATAGGATTGGAATCAGTGGGCAAATCTGGAGAAGGTGAAGGAGACGACGAAGTAGTAGGTGAAGGGATAGGAGGTGAAGGAGGAATGGAAGGTGGAGGATGGATGCTTAAGTAGAATGGATCATGAAGTAGAACAACAAGAGTCGAAGGAGCTAATGTCGAAATTTGTGAAGCTGATGAAAAAGAAAAATCATCTTCACAAAATTTAACATCACGGCTGATAAAGAATTTGTGAGATTGCATGTCATACAATTTGTAACCTTTATGACCACAAGGATATCCTACGAAAACACAAGGAATTGCCCGAGGTTCAAATTTTTGCTTAGGATGTACTATAGTTGCATAACATTTACAACCAAAAACTTTAAGATGATGAAATGTAGGTGATCGTTTGTAGAGTGCTTCAAAGGGTGTCTTGTAAGATAACACTGGTGATGACGTTCTATTTATAAGATAAACAGTCGTTAAAATGCACTCTCCCCAAAAATTAAGTGGAACCTGTGACTGAAAAAGAAGAGACCTAGCTACATTTAGGATATGGCGATGCTTACATTCTACGACTCCATTTTTTTGTGGAGTATAGACACAAGTGCGCTGAAATTCAATACCACAAGAAGTAAAGAATGGTTGCAAAGATAGGAACTCAGTCCCATTGTCTGATAGAACTATCTTGATAGTAGTATGAAATTGAGTTTGAACAAATTTAACAAAGTTCATTAACAAATGATGTACTTCTGACTTATGTTGCATTAGAAAAACTCAAGTACATCGAGTAAAATTATCAACAATAGTGAGAAAAAAACACAAACTAGAATGGGTAGGAATTTTATGTGGTCCCCAAACATCACAATGTATCAGATCAAAGGCAGAATGAGTTGTTATTGAACTTCTTGGGAAAGACAACCTAGTTTGTTTTGCTAACGGGCAGATATTACAATTATGAGAATAACTCGCATTATTAAGATGCAATTGATCAGCTAGAAATTTAAAACGAGAAAAAGAAGGATGACCTAGACGTAAATGCCACAAATCAGATGACTGAGATACTTGATGAGCTAAAGATTTGATTGGAGATGAAGAAATATGATAGAGACCTCCAAATTGTTTACCCGAGCCAATCATCTTCCCCGTAGCCAAGTCCTGCATAACACAAGAATCAGGATAGAAGGTGACATAACATTTCAAGTTATTGGTAAGTTTGCTGATCGACATTAGGTTTAAATTGAATGAAGGCACACATAAAACGTTATTTAACTTAAGGTTAGGGCTAAGGAAAATATTGCCAGTATGTGACACACGTGCTGTCTCTCCATTAGGCAAATTTATTGTAGACATGATGGTAGCCTTTGGATCAGTCATAACAGAAGATTTTGATACTATATGATCCGTAGCTCCACTATCGAGAATCCATGAATTAGAACTCGCAGAGTTAACAGATAATGTAGATATGGGAAACAAACCTGCAACATTGATGTGATTGTCAGAATTACCAGAAGGGTTTTGATTGATTGCAGATAAGGCTTGTGCTATCTGTCGTAATTGCTCAGAAAAAAAAAATTGGAATGGAATTAGGTGACTGTTCTTCTGTATTCAACTGTGAAACATCGGCCATATTTGCGGATGATCGGTATCCACGATGATTGTGTTGATTGACTTGTCTTGTCCTTGTAGAATTATTTTTCTGTCGACACCAATCTTCTGTATGTCCCCTTCTATCACAAAACTTACAATGAAACTTAAGAATTCGACACTCATTGATTGTATGACCACTTTTATTGCAGTGTTCACACGTTGTCCTTGGCGAATTTTGAATATGTTGTTTTCTTCTGCACTGCTGATGCAATCGAGAAATTCTCAGTAGGTTCAGAAGTTACCTGTCGCTGCATCTCTTCTTGTACAAGTAATGAATAAGCTTGCCTCACATTAGGTAATGGAGACATCATCAATCTGTTAGATCTCACCGTTTTATAAGACTCATTGAGCCCCATGAGCAATTGCATGAACTTGTCTTCTTCGCGTTGATCAATATGTATTTGACGTTGATTACACGTAAATGGTGTGCGGTACGCTTCCAGTTCATCCCAGAGTGCTTTGAGCTTGGTGAAATATGTTGACAGTGTCATGGTTCCTTGTGACATCGTTGCTATCGAGTTTTGTATTTGAAAAATTGCTGGAGCATTTTTTTGTGAGAATTGATCGCGAAGATCAACCCACACTTGATGAGCTGTCTTGGCGTGAATAATGCTTTTAGCGATATCTGCTTCAACAAAATGAGTTAACCAAGATATTATCATACTGTTGCACTGATTCCAGAGTTCGAATTCGGTTGAATTTGCATCTTGGGGCGGTTACTCAATTGTGCCATCAATGAAGCCAATTTTCTTTTTGGCAATAAGAGCATGCATAACTGATTTACTTCAGGATTGGTAATTTGCTCCATTTAATTTGATTGGAACAAGTGAATATCCTGGCTGATCCGAGTGATGCATTTAGTAAGAATGTGTTAAATCAACATCCGAAATTTTAAAGCTGGATTTGGTTGATTCCGCCATAAAGGAAATTTTGATATTTAAGAACACCACGATCGATGCTCTGATACCAAGTTAAAAAATAGAAATAGAAAATAGAATTGGAAAAATGTATGATCTTCAGGTTTACCACGTTTAAATAGATACAAACTATTAACTAATACCTAAAAATAGGAAAAAAAATATATAACTAACTAAATCTTGTAAATAAATAAAATACACGATTAATCAAATTTATAAACTTCCTAAATATCTCAAATATATTCTAACTAATATATCTCCAAAATATCCTCTTAATAACAACCAAACATCACGATTCAAACCCAGCCACGGTGAATCATTGGGCCCTGTAATGCCCGAAGCGGCGCTTGCTCCGCTAACGTAGATCTATCGGCTCACTGTCGCCAACGTAGTGAAGAATGGCCACCTTCAAAAGAAGCACTCCCAAACCATAAGGAGATCTTCTCCAAAGACGTGGGATCTCACCATCATCCGAAAAGACCATGACTCTTCTCTTCAACAGACATGAGATCTTACCATCCATCTCCAGTGACTAGGGTTCTCCTTTACAACATATTGGAATTTCACAATTCATCCCCTTGGTGACTAGAGTTCCCCTCTACAGTTGATGTAAGATCTCATAAACCATAAGAGAACTAGGGTTTCTCTCTTCAACCGATGTGGGATTTCACGATCCACCCCTTAGGGACTAGCGTATCTCACAATCCATAAAGGGATTATGACTCTCCTCTCCAACCAATGTGCGATCTCATAATCCATGAGAGTACCAAAGAGTTTCCCTCTCCAATTGACAGGATATCACAATCCACTCTTTAGAGGACCAACGTTCCCTTCTTCGAAGAGTATGGAATCTCACAATACTAAATAGATCCACAATAGTGTGACCGTGGACTTTTCTCTTATCCATAACTTTTCTTAAAATATCTATCCTTCTTAAAATATCTCATTGCGAGGTTTAAAGTTTAATAATTGTCAATTTGACCCTCAAACAACTATTGAGAAAGAAAAACGTGTGAGTTTACAAATGGATAAAAAAGTAATTTGCAAAAAAAAAAAAAAAAATGAGGTTTAATAAAATAAAAAATTAATTTGAATATTTTAAATTTATTAATTTTATTGCAATTAAAATAAATTTATTACATTGGGCTACTAACTAAAACGACAAGTATCCCCTTCATTTACATCAACCAAAAATAAGTATCCAATTCATTTAGCATCATATTCTATCCATTCTTTTGTCAAACGAAAATTCATTCGAACCCATTTTAATTTCATGCTGTTCAGAATCATTATTCATCTCCATCGGTTGAACATCCACATCCACGACTTGAGTTGAATTGGGTTGGTTTGAATGATCAGTCTCAACCTCAACATCACCGCCAGTCTCCATGTCGCGAGGGTGAAAGCGATGTGACGGCGACGTTGAGTCAGGATCCCAATGGTCATTGTCAAAAACAGATCGTCTGGGAGAGGTGTGGACACTGTCCAATTGGGTTCGGTAGTGGCGGAGGAGGTGCATCGGCGACATATGGTGGGACGGGGTTGGCGGGCGACTAGACATAGGTGTGATGGAACCCTGATTTTGTTTAATGTGTTTGCGAGCTGTGTGGTGCCAGTTTTTTAACGCCGTTGCTACCCTTTCGTTGAAAATTGTTGGCTTCATTGTGGAACCCATCTAAAAATAAAAGAAAGCACAAACAATTAGAACAAGTTTTGGAATTGTAACTTAATGTAATGATTTTACCTGGGTGACAAGAGCATAAAGAGGCAACGTAACGTAACTACAAAGGATTTGAACGAGAACCCTGTTACAAAAATTGAAGTCACACAATCTAATTAGCTACGTAAATATTTGATTTCACAATCGTTAAAGATTACAAACTCACTCACCCCATTGTTATTCTGATCACCAAATCCTCTACGTGCTCGTGGAAGCACGATTTCATCCCGAATTCTTTCTGTAAAATTGAATTAGGAAATGGAATTAAAATAGTTCAAAGAAATTAAGAGACAAAAGCTTTAATATACCACATCCGCTAATTTACGGAATAACCATGAGTTTATAATCAAAGAATATTATCTTCATTTCATTCGTACAAAATCTCGAGAGCTTATGATCAAAGTAACAATATCATAATATTGTGGAGAGTCGTGTTCAACTAACGTACCCAAGTCCAAGCAAAGAAAGCGAGCTGAAAGGCGTTCTGAAACAACACGAAGTTGATGAGATAAAGAATGAGGCGAGGCCGATTGAACCAGAAAAGCTCGTCCCCTGGCTCGACCACCGGCACCCCCTTCACCACCTCGCCTCTTTCTTGAATCCTCACTGCCATTTTCGTAATTATCACTTGCAATTTCGTCCCCACCAGTAATACAATCTGCACAAATTTTAATTAATTAATTAATTAATCAATCAAATACACCCATTTTTAACCTTAATTAAATTACTTAATCTTACGATTAATGGGATAAATGGAAGCCATAGGTACGCCCTCCACCCTGCAAATCCCACCCAACAAGTTAATTAACTATGCGTTTAGTTTAGTTAATAGTTCATTAATTATGAATTAGGCTTATTAATTTGAGTTTTCTCACCATGGGTGTTGAAAAGTAGGAAGAGGACAGCCAAAAACCAGATTGGAGGGCTGCAGAATTAATGAATTAGGGGCATAAAAGTAAATAAGAAAAAAAGAGAAGGGCGGAATTGGTATAATAATATTTACCTAATACTAACGACGACCTTGAAATCTTCCTCGAGGGATCGTTTGATGTATTTTTGGAAGTCGAATTTCTGATCGCTGTGTGGTGCCAGATGAGCCTAATTGAAAATATTAATTTTTAATAGGTAAATATTAATTTTATAAATATTAAATGAATTGAGAAAGAAAATTAAGACTAACCATGACGAAACCATGTCTTAATGTCAAGTAATCAACTTTAGGAACGGATCGAACAAATTGTCTGAAGAAACAAACCTATCCCAAAAAATATAAATAAATTAAAGTTTCGTATTAAATAACTCTTTCCCATCAATCACGTATCATTCATCAATTTAGTTTTAAATATAATTTAAAAAATTTAATAATGTAATTGGAAAATGCAATTCAACAAAGAATTAAATATGAAAATGAAAATATATAGGGTAGGGGGAGGGGAGGTTGATAAACGAAGGTTGAAGAAGCTTTCGTATACAAAAAAAAGTCAAAAGAATTAAACGCCCAATCATAAACGCCGTTAAAATGTAATTAAAACCTGTCCCAAAAAAACACAAAAACAAAACAAATAACCTTAAAAAAAATTATAAATGTCCTAAAAAAAACATATTTGATTTGATTTAAAATAATTAATTTATTAAATGATTAATCTTACAATCCAGACGAGGGAAGGAGATTTGGTCCAAAAACTCAAATGTCTTCTCCCAAACGATGTGTCTCTTGCAAATCGGAATCGCTCTGGATCTGTCGTATTTAGACATAAACATTAACTCACACAAAAATAAATAAATAAATAAATTTAATTTTTTGTTCAAGGAGATATTTATTTACCATGCGAAAATTGGTACTCCACCGTTCTTGTTTCCTTTTCCCATGCCTTCCAACTTCTCATCTTTTTTATAAAAATTAAAAAAATAAAATTCATTAAAGAAAAAAAAAATAACAAAATTGGGATTTAATTAATTAATTTACACATACCTTAGCATTCCCTAAAGCCAAAGTTAAAACACAGTACAGAACATGGAAGACAGCCAACACGAAGATGAATATGTGTAGCTGATGAATGCCTTCTTCCGACACAAATGGAACCTTACCCTATATATTTTCAAAATAATAATAAATAAATATCCAATTTGTTTTATTATAATTAATTATTAGTTTTTTTTTTATTTCTTATACTTTTCAAGTATTCTATTTTCCATACCTTAGCAGCACATTTGTCGGTTCCGCCGCCCCCAGCGAGGACGCGCCGGAAAGTGGCATTGACAGGGGAGACGGCGAGAAGTTTCCGGCGATTAGTGTCGGTGTTCACCACGTCATCTTGTTTACTTAATTCCTCCTCCTTTTGGGGGCTACATGGATGCCACGTGGCCGCCACGTCTTCCGGTATACAAACATTGGTGATTAGGCTTTGTCCTACCGTCAGCAGCAGCGATATGAACCCCAATAGCATCAGCTCTACAATTTTGAAACAACACCCAGATTATATATATATATATATATAGTGTGTGTGTGTGTGTGTGTGTGTGTATGTATGCATGCATGTATGTATGGATACCTGCTTTGATCTTCTCAAGGGCTTCGTAAAGAGCTCGCTTGTGCTTCTTCTTAAACCACTACAGTAGAGAAACAGATTACTATAGAAGAAATAATAGGGTTATGAAATGAAACGAAACGGTGGCGTTTAGTGTAGGTACCTTTCCGATGAGATGCAGACTATGTTCGATGACAATGGAAATCAAGACCAAGACGAAGCAGACGGCGGCGACGGCCCATGTGGCCGTCTCTTCCAAGGACCTTCCGGCGCCACCTCCGGCCATCGGGAAGTTTTTTTGAGGAGAAAGGAGAAGAAGAAGATTGATAAAGAATAAATTGGGGAGAGGTTGGAAGTGAAGGCAAAACGATGAGTTTTGACTTTAGAACGCGTAAGAGAAACAGACACAATTATGAACCTTCCTCCGTTGTATGATTATCCTTGTCAATTATTTATTTATTTATTCTAATTATTGGAGTTTTTTTTTTTTTTTTTTGGCGACTAATTTTCAAATTGGATTTTTAATTAATCCTACGTCTGAATCAATCACGTTACAATATCGTCCATAAACATTAATAATTTATTTTAAAAATGACGTCACTCTCCCATTTTCAACATTAGCCTTCTATAATGTAGACTCTCTTTTCTTGGCATACCTAATATAATCATTAATTTTATTTTAATTTGACAATAATAGAAGACAAACTCGTGTGTTTATTTTTGTGGGGTTGACGAGGGGAATCTTCACGGATCGGGTTCTCGATGGTATTTTTTTTTTCATTTTATTTTTTAATATAATTTCTATTAAAAATGTAAAATATCATAATATTTTATAAAATACAGGGAGATATAAATATTATTACTATGGACGACCTAAAATCTCTATTTTCTATTTAAATATAAATTTTACACACAATTTAAAGGAAGTCTGGGTGGAAAAATATGGAAGTTATAACACAATACAAAACACATGTTTTTGTTTAAAAATGAGTTTTTGTTTTTGGAAAGAAAAGAGAAATAATGTGCTTACAAAATCCATATTAGGTATTACCAGAAGACTTTAATTCTTTATTTTGTCCTTTTTTATTATTTTCACCGGAAGTAAAATTTTATTTTTCTACTTGAAAGCAAGTTTTAATATTAATAAATTAGTTGTCGTGTCTTTTTAAAACTAATTTGGTAACAAAATTAATGGATCGTTAGTCGTTAAATCATTAAAATATCTTTCAATTATCAAACACTCAAAATCAACCATTTTTTCGTTATATTATTATGACATTTGAACAATATTATTTTTGAAATAAATAAAATGTATGACGTCAACTACAATTCAAACAATTTAATAGCAATTAGTATCACCCATATGGTGTTTTTTTGCTAGGGAGAGATTTTCACACCGAATGTTTAGTTCTCCTCTCCAACTAATGTGAAATCTCACCGTTCATTCTTTAGAGGCCCAACAACATTTGAATGATGTGAACAATAATTTTTTTTTATTTTTTTATTTTTTTTATCTCACATCAAGAGTAGCTCGATCTTCATAGGATTAAGAGAAATTCGTGAAGGAGAGTTACCCTCTACTCACCCGTGTTTATACCATGTCGATGACAAATGATTTTCTAATTAAACAAATAAATTTTAAAAAAACATTTATCCCAAAATCTTTTGAATATATATATATATATATATATATATATATATATTTTATAATTTTCATCCAAAAAAGAAACGCCCACTTGCGGGCTGAGCCACCTAACCGTACGCAAAGATAATTTGATAATATGTATATTCTTTTCAGATATTATATTTTAAATTTCAAAGGAAATTTGTGAATTATAAATACAATTTTATTCATATTACTTGAATAATTTTCTGACTTTAAAGTCCTAATTCTTCTTTTTCCGTCAAACTTCATGCAAGGGGTTCGTTTGTAATTTCGTTTTTTGTCAGTCAATGACAAATCGTATTTCCACACGTCAGCAATTTCGAATTCATCGTCACACGTGTTGACACGTAATTGAACGTAGAATGCGGACCGGGTTGCTCCCTTTTTAGACCGCAATTCTGGACCGTCATTTGTTTCTTCATCGTTTTTTCCAAATATTACATATTCTAGAAATTCCAGCCGCCCCTTGGCCCTTATCACTAAAGGGGGCTTATTATTTTTAATGATTTTTTTCTTTTAAATGTAATGTTTTTTTTTTTTTTAAAAAAAAAACTTATTTAATTAATATTCACTTACAGATTAAATGATTAAATTAATTAATATCAGATTGGGCTCTAAACTGGGCCATACGAGTTGAAGCCCGGCCCATTTAAATAGTACCTCGTTCCCGCCTTTTTCTAATTTTGAACTTCAAGAAATTCCATCTGTTCTGATCTAACCGTTCTCTCTCCCCTGTTTCCGCATATTTGGATCTGCAGAAAGATCGGCGTTAATTCAACTCTACTCTCTCGATTCTTTGCAATTAATGGATCCTAAACTCTCCAGGATTCCAGGTATTGATCCGTTTTGTTTTTTGTTTTCTCATTCATTTCTGCTTGATTTCGTTACTGATTTCTCTCAAATTTGCTTCAAATCGTCAGTGAAACCTGTTTCTTCTAAACCGAAATTCATCCGAAAGCCAGCCTGTGAAGCGCCCCAAATCACCGCCCTTCAACCTCCGATTTCCAGGTACTACAGTTTATTATTGTTCTCAATTTCGTTCGGAATTTCCTTGTTGAATCATGCTCTTCTGTAGTAGAGTATGAATCTTATTGTTACCATTAGGCAGAAGCGAGTTTTCGGAATTGTTCGGAGCTCAAACATTCCAATCAAATCAGTAAATGAAAATCCCTTAGCTAAGCCCTTAATTGGAGCGGTTAAGAAACAACCGAAATCCACTCGATTAACTCAAATCGCGGTCAATGCTACTACTGATCAGAAGAAGATCACTGAAAAGTTGAATCCGAAGCCAAAGAAGAAGAGCCCTAGCACCAAGCAGCAATTTATGGGAATGGCCATAAAGGATTTGCGTGTTATGAACGACGTCGTGGAGCCTCAGACACCGGTGGCTAGGCCTCGTTTGCATAAGATGAGAAACGCTGGCACCCCTTATCATACTGCGGAAAAATGCAGTAATTGTCGTTTTGACAAGATGGAGACTTCGTCATATTGGGTTGCTCAGATCAAATTGGCTGAATCCGTCGGGAAGCATTTTGTGTCAGCTGATTTCTTTCGCCTTGCTTATGTCTGCAGTGCCGAGGTGTGTAAATGACATATTCGAACATCTTTATCTTTACCTCTGATCATATCTAGAAGTGCTTATAGCATTAGTAAAGCTGGAAAAAGTAATTTGATTTTGACCATTTTTGCAAAAGGCTGTTAATGGCATGTCTTTGGAAGTGATTATGAGGTAATCTGGACATAATTAGAATTAAATTAGTTAGCAAAAGGAGAAACAAGAACGTTTAATCATGGCTTTCGTGTTTCTCTTGAATTTTCCTGAGTGGCAGGTCTCACAGCTAATTCCTCCACCCCCTCCCCATAGTTAGAACTATAGAAAAAAGAGATTCTTTCTATGTGCAAACATTGAGGTACCCAACTGGGTTTGGTACGAAAGTTCCCATTTAAATGCGATATCTCATATTAGTTGGAGAGAGGAACAAGTGCAGTAATAATGCTGAACTTCGAAGGAATGGATTATGAGATCCACATCGGTTAGGATGAAAATGAAACATACTTTACAAGGGTATAGAAACCTGTCCTTGACGGCCGTGTTTTAAAATTTTTGAGTGAAAACTTGAAAGGAAAAATCCAAAAATGACAATATCGATTAGTAGTGGTATAATCATCCTCCAATAACGAGTTTTATTAAAGAGGATCTTATCTTGTGAAACCTCTGACTGGATAAGTATCTTCTTTTTTCTAATTTCATGTTCATCACCTTTCCACTCTTGAATTTGTTGCCACTGTGCCATCTATTCTTAAAATACGACTAATTGTTGGCCATATTCTTCCTGAATTTTTCTCCTTGATCTTTTGGGTCTACTCAGAACTCAGTTTTTACCTTCCCATTTATATTGATATCTGGTCTATTGCAACAGCCGTTCAGGAACCTCAAGGTCGAGCTAAAGCGTTACTTGACTCGGCATGAACATCTATCTATGAACACTGAGTGGAAGGATGTGAGTCTTAGCTACGGCTTACTTCAAGATGAAAACATTAGCGGCCCCCACAATCCGTCCACTAAAATTTGTGACAGTGAACTCGACCAAGATAATCAGGCTACGGCAATCGAATCTAGGACACCAGAATTCAGTGGCAGTGAATTCGATAAAGATGAGATTGTGGGAACTGATGTTGGTGAGCTGGGAACCGAGACATGCCAAAGATGTCCAAGTTCTTTGCCTATGGAACCAAAACAGACCCATCAAACATGACACCGGAATTTGATTTTGTAGCCTTAGTTCAGCTTGTGTTCTATAAATGCATCCAATTTTGTGTTTTGCATTGCCATTTTCACATTCTATTTTGTATTCTAGGCAAATAATTTAAAGATTGCTTGATGTTCATCAAATCATATATGATACGGATTTGTGTTCCACTTGTCACTAGGAGTGTAAAGTGATTGGATGGGGTTGGTTTGACATCGAGCCAATGAAATTGGTACTCGGAAGAAGACATTCAAAGATACATACAAAATCACTCATAAATTTTATGGTTTAAGCTGATCTAAGACTAGTAATGCCTCGAGAGTTGGAGTGTAGGTAGATTAACACTACACTTGTGTTCACTTTTTTTCTTTTCAATAATGCATAACTAAATTGAAACTACCCGACATGGATTGATTTGGTTGGATCGAATGGTGTCTGAGTTTTGTTTGGCTTGTAAGCTGTTACATGGTAGGTAGTAAGACTGAAAGATAAGGCTAAGTTTGCTTGAACAGAGTAAAGTGCGTCCATCAATCAGCCTCGGGCACTCACTAAGAAAGCAAAGTTGGACCCATCATAGGAAAATAGAAAGGACATCACATAATTGTCCTTTATAATTGGTCCCCCCCCCCATTTTGCAAGGCTTATGCGCATACAAAACACCCCCATTTAATTTGATTGATCCAAACACACTGTCAACACCTTGTCCCCTACCCGCCACACCCCCACCTCATTTGTTGTCGCAATCAGTTCACTCTTAACACATTGTAGTTGATAGTAAAACTACACATAAATACCATTATTGTAACAGTTTAAGTATACCGTTAGCAGATATTGTCTGCTTTGACTTTATGTATAATCGTTAGCCTCACCATTTTAAAACGCGTTTGCTATGTAGAGGGTCCAAATCACTCTGACCAGTGCCTCACACCGTCTAGCGATAGACTCTGATACTATTTGTAATAGTCTAAGCCCACCGCTAGCAGATATTG